ACACTCTCATTGTCCTGAAACGTCATGTAAATGAAGAGCTTACGGGGTGGATACAGGCTGAATTGTTTTGCTACTACACCCAATATATTTTTAACCAAATATCTGATGACTCTGTCAAAATATTGACTTGAGCTTCCTAAAGTCATTCTGCATAAATCTGAAGGAAATGAATTTTACCGTCTGCAGAAAAAATATCCATATTGTGAAAACCTGTTACAGGATGAGGCTCTACAGGAAAAGCAGTTTAATCCCATCTATCACAATGGTTATAAATAGAAAATGTGTAACATTCAAATTCAGATAAGCGGGAGTCTTCATTTCCTAATATGACATCTGCAGATACACATGTTATGTATGCAGTATAAAAAAATGATAATTAGGAATTGAAAACTGCTGATTTATAAATACCCATTTTACTTTCACAGTTATTCATTTTTATGTCTATGGTTAAAGATAAGACTGATAACTAGTAATTCATGATCAAGAAAAAAATCATACATTAGGAATTTCCAGTGCACCTATTTTTCTTAGCTCAGAATATTCTGGGACATGGATAGTTTCAACGTTCTTTGCTTTTCACTCAAAACAATACAGTTTCTTTATTTTTTTTAATCGGTCATATAAATTCGTCTCAGTTTAGTGAATGAAGCCAGCAGCAGGGCCAGATTTTCATCACTAGAATCTATAAGTACCCAAACTTTGCTCTAAGCCTAAGAAGCACTTCTCTGCTAGGATCACCGAAGACAGAACATTTTACTTCTTTTAGACCTTATGTAGTGGGACTGAAAATGCCTCTTTTACATCTGCACAGCTTTTATTTTGTCTTTTGGGTTTACCTATGCCTCTGAATGCAGCTTTATAATAGCAAATCAGTACAAGCACATTGTGGCTTTCAGACCCATAATCTGGGACAGAGAGGGGTGGTGGGCACAGCTGGCTGGATCCTGACAATATTGTAGGTATCTTTCCCAGCAGCAGCGTGGCTATGTCCTGTCAGCATATAGCGGGCAATGGCGGGCTTTATTGTGAGAAATTCTTTCCATAGACTTGCAGGGAAAAAAAGTCACGTCACATTGCAGCACAGGTAGAATTCTTAAAGCCCAGCTCCATTTCAACTGCTTTATAGCTCTGGACGGAGTGGAAAAGGAATAAATGTCTTTGCCTGTAATCCCACTGAGTAGATTGGCCAATAGCAGATACTGTGTGAAGTAGAGCTTGGAGACATCTGGGTCTAGTATCAGATATGTGTTTCATGTAAGGTTCATGCATGCCAGGCAGTGTGCAAATGTAACCCTTATTGGTATATAATGCCTCTCACAGAGATCTTCACTGCAGATGAGGAGGATCCTTCTTTGGGTCTCCCTATCACTGCCTGGGTGACGTGGACACTTCCTATTGGCTGTTTAATGGCAAGGTCCCCTCAAGATCCAGAAGACTGCAGCAGCATGATGATGTGATGAAGAGGGAACCAGTTAGCACAGACAGCGGTTCTGGATCCACCAGTTGTTAGTCCTGGAGGAAGTATTAGTGAGGGACACAGGCAACCGTATTAGGTAAGTATATACAAGTTATTCATCTTATAGTAACTGGTGAATGAGTGAGGGGTTGGAGGTTGTACAACTGTGCTCTTAGATGGGCTTTAAAGTAAATCTAAAACGTAACTGGGTGGCATTTCATTTTCTAAAGCGCTGTCTTCCTTATCTGTAAGAGACGTACCCGCAAACTGGTCGCTGCTCAAAGACACACGCGCACATGTGCACACAATGCTATGCTAAAAGTTTCACACAAATGCATTTTGGCACATGGACGTGCACACACAGGAACACATACACGCAATAGCATATATGTGCATGGAGGTTAGGGCACTGGCACGCGCACATTAGCGGGAACACTTTGTCTATTTAAACAGATAGAAGCCATGATCAAGTTGCTAAGTGGTCGTCAGTTCCTGTGTGCCCTGCATTCTGTTCCTGCGTTCCTGATCTCCTGTGTTTCAATCCGGCTTGTGACCATTGACTCCGCCTCCTCCTTCCTATTTAGCACCACAAATCTTCCGTGTATGACCCTGGCTTATGATTCCTGACCTTGCTCCTGATCTGCGATTTAGCACTTCGAGATTTCGCTTTCCATGTATGACCCCGGCTTTAAACCTGACTTTGCTCCAGGCTTGCCACTTGCTGCCTCATCCCACCATCATCACCACCTGTCACCACCTCCAGAAGTGTGGGACGAGGGGTGCACCGGTAGCGTCCTCATCAGTTGGGTCTGTGCTGTCAGTATATTGAAGGCAGTAACCCACTATATGCTGACTTTGGGTCACAGTAGAGCATTAGTCAATGTACTCTTGTGAACCAAAAGAGAAGTAAAACCAAAATAAAAAAAGGTTTGGCTGTAGTTCTTTATTAGTCCTCGTCACTCAAGGAGTTTTGTAGCTCAAAGGGCTAGGCACTACAAGACTTAACCAAATGAATTACATTATTTTCAATGGCCCCTGTTCATATCAGAGCGTCCTGTCGCCTGTTGCTGGAAAAAGTACATGAGCTACTTTTCTGCAGATTTCTGCACTTTTGGCCCCATAGACTTCAACAGAAATGCTTGTCAATGTGCGACACAAGTGTTTTTGTGCATTTGCTTGAGAGTTTTGTCATGCATTTGATGCGCAAGAGCCAGCCTTCCTATTCGCAAAAAACACTGGGAGGACAGCACTGGGAGGACAGCACAAGCTGAAAAATGTGCAACAAAACGCTTAAAGGAGAACTATGGGGTCAGTGTTTTTCCCCATAGTTCTCCTTAGGGTAACGGGAGGACACAAACTAGCGTCCTCCCGTTACCCTAAGCTCAGTATACCGCGAGCTACAGCTCGCGGTATACTGAGACGCCGCAGCTGGAGCGGATCCCGACGTAGATGACGGGATCCGCCCAGCTGCGTGAGTGACAGCTGGCTCTGCCTATCTAGAGGCAGAGCCAGCTGTACCCGCCCCCTCCCCCATCCGTTCCGCCAGTCAGCGCTGGCAGATCGGAGCGGGGAGAGGGGAATCCAGCCCCTCCCCCTGTCACGGCAGAGAGCCGTGACAGGATAGAGAGGTGAGGGAACCCGGTATGTGTTCCCTCACCTCCCGATCTACTGAGCCGACCTGTGACAGTCTCATTGTCACAGGTCGGCTTAGAACTATGAGGTGAGCTGAAATCACTCATCTCATAGTTCTCCTTTAAAAAGCACTTGTCAAACACATTGACACACGTAAAATGCTAAAAAACGCTTTCAAAACCTGAAAAACACTGACAGTTTGGTGTGAATGGAGCCTTAGGGCACCTTGCGCAGTCAGGCGAATTGCAGCTGGGAGTTGCATTTGGGGTGCCACTCAAATGAATAGCAACGCAGCGCACCTGTCGCACTGTAATGCGCAGTACCATTCATTAATCGCACAGGCTTGGTGTGAACGGGCCCTCAACTACCGTGTTTCCCCGAAAATAAGACACTGTCTTATATTTTTTGGGGCTCAAAAAAACACACTAGGTCTTATTTTCGGGGTAGGTCTTATTTTCAGGGAAACAGGGTAGGTAAATGCTAGAACCTATGCAAGCTTTTTTTTAATTGTCTCTTACTTTCAGATTTTCCTTCACTTCCTGTCTAATAAACATTCTCCCCAGAAACAGCGGCAATCTACTAATGGATTTTCAGATAGCAGTAAAACCTGACAGGGGTTCTAACTAGGGATGCACCCATATATTGGCCGCCGACACATATCGGCCGAAAATTGCACTTTTGGCAAAATGCAGAAAGCGAAATGTTTCTGCCTACATAGTGGTGCATCTCTGCTTTTTCTCCTCCCTGCTGGGCACTGCTCAGTGTCCCAGCGGGGAGGAGAGAAACTGTCACAGGCAGCCGAATGCTGCGGGAGGAGAGCGCTGTGAGTGGCCGGCGTCTCTCCTCCCCGCACTGCTCAGCCTCCTGTCACAGTCAGGCAGCGATGTGGGCGGAGACAGCTGTCATTGCTGTCACAGGAAGCTGAGCTCTCCTCCCGCACAGCGTGTCAGGATGAACACGCTGTGATCGCTGAGTGTCTGTACGTAATTGAGGACAGAGTATGTTTACTGTATCCTCAATTATGAATGAATGGGAAGTGATCTACATCACCTCTTGTTCATTCATGATTGTGGTTATAGTAAACACACTATGCTCTCATGTTATGAATGGACAGGAACACTCAGTATAGAGGATTCCTGTACTCAATCTCTTTTTCTATTTTAAAAGGAAAATATCATGGGTCTGTTTGAACCCCTAATATTTCCCCAAAGCACCTTAAAGTAAAGTAAAAAATAAAAATATTTAATACAAATAAAAAAATAAAAATAACATATAAAAACAGTTTAAAAGTTTATAAAAAATAAAAATAAAATATTAGAAATTTTTTTAAAAAGTTAGAAAAACGGTCCAACGTTTTTTTTCATTTTGGTTTTAACATTTTCATTTCGGTGCACCTCTAGTTCTAACCTTTCCACGTTCTATCCAAAACGAAAAAAAAAATCGGGGTATACATACACTTTAATAAACAATTAAACAGCCAGATTACTAATTGTTTATTAAGTGTTCTACTAGTGTGCAACAAGTTAACGCCGAGTCAAAAATAAATCTTGAACAAATCGTAATCGAATTTTCCAGAACCAATTTAGAAATCAGTTCTGGGAAATCCAGTATCATTATTGCCAGGCATGCAATTGAAAATAGTCGTGTGGGGAAAGTCTTGTGTCAAGTCGTAGCCATGCATTCTGGGGGTGAGTTATTCCTAGCAGTGTGCTGCGGTGATCAGATATCCTGTAGTAACCAACAATGAGCCCGGGGAGGCGCTGTGCGCATGCGCCAGGCAGACCTTTCCCTGCTCGGACTGTCTTGGCAGAACGCAGAGTAGCTGAGAGCTCTGCAAAACACAAGGGGCTCCGCAGCTACAGGAAGAGTACTGCGGGGACCCTCCACTTCACAGCGTCCAAATGTGGCTGCTAACACTTCAGGACACATTCAGCAGGCTTCCCAGGGTCCAGCTCGTTCTGCTTTCCAAATGACTGCAACCTAATGTAAGTGGAGTTGTCAGAAAGTTTGTGCAAGTTGTATGGAGCAGAGGTGATAGCTGTCACTGGGCACACACTGGAATCAAGTGTAGCAGGGTGTGCGCTGTATGTGTAGTGTTGTTGGGGAAGGGTGCTTGCAAGTTGCTAACTCAGATGCAATGAATGAGTGTTCAGTGAAGACTGGAAGTGTCTGTGCTTCTCTTCTGGCACACAGCTGCATAGACACAAATGGCTGCAGGTCACAGCCCCTGGCTGGAGAATCCAGCATTCCAGAACTGTGCACAGCCTTAGGATTCTCCCATTCCCAGGATCACTACTGTACAGTGGCAACAGTCTGCCACAGACACCAAGGTTCATGGACGTCTACAGATCTTTATGTGTTGTCACTCCTCCTTCCTACCTGTAGCTTTCCTGTAGCTCTGGGCTGGATCCATTCATCTTGAATGACTGTGTGCACACTGTTTTACTACTGAGGTTAGGTATGGGATTCCTATTATTTTTGCTACAATGTATCAGCTGGGTGGCAATTGTAGTGGACACCTTTTCTTTATTTATTGGGTTCACCTGTCAGTTTTTCAGCAGACCTGATCTGGTGCCTAATGTAAGTCTATGGGCAGCTGTGTTACCCTGACTCCAGCCAGGTCCGGAAAAACAAACGGATCTGAGTTCCGCTACACTGGACCTGACCTGCCAGATTGGGGGTAATCTGATGTAAACGGGCACATCTGGTCATCTCAGTTTTTCCCTCCATCGCAAGATGGACACGGATGTGACAGTGGTTACATCTGTTCCATATTGCTTCGATCAAGAGGGCATGCGTGCATGGATGCCCTCCTGATCAGCCCATGTGAAAGGGGCCTGTAGGATACATCAGAGTTGGTGTTCTAAACCCTATCTGGATGACATTTAAAGCCCATCTCTGGGCAAATAAAATAAAGTACCCATGCAGTTCTCCCCTGAAGTCCAGCTGTCTAAGGACCACTGATGCCATCACGTCTAATGCAATTCCCAAAGACCTGCTTTTAGATGTGAGGACACCCAGAGCCATTTCCACCAGCCGGAGCAAAGGGGAAGAAGAGGGCAGAGGGGATCAGGCGAGCAAATCTGATTTTTTTTCCCCCCAGCCCCCTAGACAAAAACAAGCAAGTAATCCATGCAGTGTGGGGGCAGCCCCACTGCAAGTGTACTTTTTTTGTACAGATTCAGCTTTAATTTTAATATGCGAAATCACAATGTATAATACACAACTGCCCTTTTTTTTTTCATGTAACAATGTTTTCACGTTATTCGTGTCTCAGTGGGAGCTGGTTTCCTCCAGCCTTTTTCAGCTACTTAAATGCAAAATGCACTCTTCTGCTGCACATCACTGCTCTGTATTGGCTACCTGAGAGTGGCAACATTGCACCCTGCTGCATATATTGTTTGCTCATACTATGTCCACTTTGCCACATCTTTTTGCACAAACCGCACATGTTTGGCATTACCCAGGCATACAGCTTTTTATGTACCCTGTTCACACTATACATGTGTGGTAGTGTTCAGAAAAATGCAGACATGGTGAGAACAGAACCATAGTCCCCACCAGGGGCTCATGTGACCTGGTGACAACGCAGAAGTTGGGAGACGGTGTCACTTCATGACATGAAGTACTTAAACAAGCAAACATGGCAATTTCCATGTTAATGTAAGGTGCAGATTGAGGGTACTTTCACACCAGCAGCTGGGCTCAACTGTATGGCTGCCGGTGAGTGTCCCCAGGTAGTGACGATGCATTTGATCCAGCCGCATCACACTGTTTTTTTTTGTGTGTGTGTGGAATGCGGTGGTGTGAACTGTGCCCACCCGTGACAAGACAAATTGTTTTGTCTTGCATTTTGGGCTGAGCTGGAAAAAAACGGCCAGTCCAGCCTGAACGCAAGTGGTGTGAACCGGTCCTTAGAAAGACTGACAACAACATTTGGGATTACTTTAAAGAAGAACTCCAGGGGCTACCAAGGGTTAACTGCTTGTTTGTTTCTAGGCCTTCCAATGTCTCTCCCCCTCCTCTGCAGCGGTCCTGTAAATCATCAACGTTTATACAGTAAACTGTGTGTAGATGTGAGGAGGCTGATGAAGATTCCAGTGCTGCAGGGAGGGGGGAGACAGGCTCAAGGAAGCACTGTGACAACTGACTGGCTTGGAGCTTTTGGTGCATATAACTTTTGTTATTTTAGCACCTAGACATGCATGAGCAGTTAACTCTTGCAGTAAGGGGGTAGCCCCACTGCAAGGTGTAATAAAAAAAAATTCTGGAGTTCTTCTTTAACATGTTCAACTTTATATGAGATTTTAGTGACTGGGCTGAAATCTACGTTAATAAAGTATCAACAGTGTTGTAAATAGTTTCTACGAAAAGGAACAGTGTATTCTCTGCTACCTTTTACTTTATGTATAACTAAATTAACCAGGCTGGATTGTCACGTTCCTATTTCAAGATCATAAATATTGCAGGCTTCCGACAAGCCTGTTGACTTAACATGATAGAGGTCTTTATCTTGGGTTCTGTTATCCACATGGTTTCCTCCTTCGGCTCCACTGATTTTGGAAGTGAGGAGCCAGGGCTGCCAGGCTGAGTTTGTTGTAACTATGTAGAAGTATGTTTAGGGCCTTCTCTAGTAGCTACCATGTGTACTATGTCATGTATGTTTCTGCTCTCTGGAAGCCACAATGTTTGCCGACAACATGGTTTTCATGGACCTTCACGTTTATAAATATAGTAAGGTACACAGAACGCTCAGTGCATAAAATATGGGAACACGGTGTGTGTTGTTGTAGTAAAATGCTTGTTTGTATTTTGTTTGCTATATTTTGCATCAGTTTGCATATTTAACCACTTACCGGCATGTTAAACCCCTTTCCTGTCCAGGCCATTTTTCAGTTTTCAGTGCCGTGAAAGTTTGACTGAGAAATACTCCATCACACAACCCTGTACCCAAATTAATTTTATATAATTTTTCTAGACACATAGAGGGGAATTTATCAGAACTGAAGCGGACAGAATCTGCAGCACTTGCCAATGGCAACCAATCAGCTTCTATCTTTAATTTTCAAAGCTTTTTCATAATGAATCCAAATCAAAAAATATACATTGCCCAGCAAAGTATTTCTTTATATTTTTGTCCAAACAGTTAAGTTCATCTTATTTCTGAACAGCTGCTTCCTAGTCTCTCAGCTGCATTTCCCTGAACGTCCTGTGCAGTACAAGATTACTAGGGACAGCACAGTCTCCAGCAACTTTCTACTAGCTTGGAGAAGGGAAGAGGGAGAAGGGGGGCAGCCGGGAGCTGGGTTGTGTTTTGCTTTGCTATGTCTGTGTGCTTGTGGAGACATACACAGCTTACTAGCGCACACGAGGGTGGCTCTATAGGACCTTGCAATGTAAAGGAGCCACTCTAATCCAGGATATCAGGGCCAGTGCTCAGGGAACTAGCTGACTCTGCAGGAAACTACAATTGTTGTTCATCGAGAAAGAGCATCCATTGCAGGGGATTTAAACAGCATTTAAATCAGCCGAAAAACATGTTGACTTTAACTGAACAAACTGAAGGAAGATGCTGATTGGTTGTCATAGACAACTGCTCCAGTTTTGATAAACTCCATCCATAGAGCTTTTTTGGTAGTGTTTAATATGTTTTACTATATAAAGAAAAAGATGTAAAAAACTGTTTCCCTTTCTGTTATAAAAAAAAAAATGTCAGGACAGTACAACAACCCCTGAATTGACCCCTTTTTTGGAAAGTAAATAGTAAGGGTTAAATATGTTGTTATATTTACTATCACCACTCCAAGTTTGCTCCCGTGGTGGACTACAATCTCAATACAAACTAGTATCTCATCACTGGAGCCATTTTTTAAAATGTTTTTTTTTTAACCGATTAATCGAACTCAATAATCGGCTAACTAATCGATTTTGAAAATAATCGTTAGCTGCAGCTCTAATAGTTTATTATCTGTTGCTGCTGCAGCAGCTTATTTTTATTAGGAAGTAATGACTCATCCATTCATTAGTTCCTCTACTCTCCCCTGCCTCTGTTGTAAGAGGAAGGGGAGGACTGGTCAATGTAAACATTGTCGTGTGATCACTGTGATAACCAATCACCGCAATCACAAGGCACAGAGCTGATCTGATCGGCTCTGTGCATGAAGCTGCTGCTATCAGGGGCACGCACACAGAGATGGGTACGGACGTACAGGCACGTCTTCCCAGGACAGTGGGTCTGCAGACTGGCGGTACATGTGCAGTGGCTGCTCCACAGGAGGCTGACAACCCATGTCATTCAGCAGCAGCTTTTTAGAACTATTCTAACTTGCCCTAACTCCATGGGGCCCAACCGCCACGTTTTTAGTACTTGCTGTGAGGCCCTTTGAGAATCCAACAGTCTGCTGTGGAAGCATTCATTTGTAAAAAGGCTAAAATGACACTGATGATCTCCATCAGTCTCATGTTGCATGTCCCCAGTCTCTGAATATCTCCAGTAGTATGTCTTCAGTCTTCAAGCACCCCTCTTGCATTGATTGTGTCCTAGTATGTCTGAAGTCTCTTGTGTAGTGAATATTATGTGTTGCCCTTTAGATCTTTCAGGGGCCACACACAGAAATCACAGGTTGACAACCACTGCCCTTACTTAAAAACAAGAGCTCACAAAGCCAGCACATGTACAGCATACTTGTAGACAATGTGATAATCAAAGCCTGGTAAGTGTTATTTATTTACACGTGTGAAATTATGGTAAATATATTATAAATAATCCTACTATACATGAACGCTCATTATTTTATGATCTTCAAACATCTATTAATAGATATTTTTTTTAGTCTAGACTAATATTAGGAGCATATGGTGGATGTGTTACGTCTTAAGCAATTATCTTGTTTTTGTTTCTTAAGAGAATCCGTCACCTGTTGCATACAAAGCTCTGGTAAACAAATAAAATACAGTTTTTCTGCTGAGTGCCAGGATTAATGTT